TGTTTCATTGGAATATCTAATTCTTCTAAACTCCAGTGAGTAGAGTCCCAACCTGTTTAGCCTTTGCTCATGAGACAATCACTCCGTACAGGGATCATCCTAATAAACCTTCTCTGAACTGCCTTCAATGAAATAATATCTTTCCTTAAATAAAGAACTAAAACTGCTTACAGTATTCCAGATATGGTCTCACCAGCACTTTGTACAGTTGCAGTAAGACTTCCTACATTTATACCCTAACCTTCTTGAAATAAGGGCTAACATTCCATTAGCCTTCCTGATTACCTGCTGCTGTGTATGCTAGGTTTTAGTGTTTCACGCACAAGTCTCCCAAGTTCCTTTTGAGTTGCAGCTTCTGCAGTTTTTCTCCATTTAAATAATACTGTTCTTTTGTTCTCCCTTCTAAAATGAACTACTTCACGTGTTCCACTTTCTACACCATTTGCCAACTTTTTGCCCACATATTTAATCTCTCCTATGAAGGTCACGCAGTTATGCTCAACGCAATGAGGGTCTTTGTTCATTGTACACTGATGACTCTGATTTCTCAGAGATTCTGTTAAAACTGCCTGTTTGGGCCTCAGGACATTGAAACCCTTCTGCAGCTTTGTGCCCTGAGGGTGTCCAAAAGATGATCATGATGTTTAGCTTTTTAGTGATAAGACACAGTCCAGCAGTCAGCACTTTGTGCATGGCTTTTGTTGTATGCGCATCCTGCCTGTCTCTTTGCCTGGTGCTGAAGTAGTCAATTAGATACCAGTGCATTGAACAGGAATGCATCCAAGGTGTCTTGTTGCGAAAGGGGAGACAGAATAGCTAATTGTGATTGTGCTTAACAGGCACGTCTTCAGCATGAGACTATTGCAGCTGGACTGCCCCTTCTGATACCTGATGATCTGCACTGAATTTATTTTAGAAGTCACCAAGAATTTAATTCCCATGTGCCCACCATCCCCTTAATCCCAAAAGCTCTTAATTTTTGAATAAGGCTATGAAATGCTACTATTCAATTGTATTTTCAAAGTCTACTTATACATCTACGTGAGGAGCCCTCTCTGTTAATTCGTCAGAGAGCTCAAATGGGTTAGTCAGATATATATTGCTTTTGACTTGCCTTAACAAAGTGGCTGTCCCACGTTAAACCATGTTCTCCAATGACCGATTTTAATCCCTCTCCCAGTCACTCGGTCTGAAACAAACTGAGTCCCTGGCATGCGATTTGATTCTTCTCTTCTTCCCCCAGTTTTGTTTCTTTGCACATCTGAAGATTTCTGGAAGGTCAAATAAAAATAATTTATCCCCTGAATTTAACATTTTAAAAATACACTGTCATTAAAATTGTAGAGTTTGTATTTTTTAATAAGGAATTGATCTTGGTTTAAGCATGAATTGTTAATGGGATGGTTCAGAATGGCAGCTCTGTATATTGGAGATAAGAATTCCCTGTCCCATTGTGTTAGACATCAGACTTCAGAGCAGAGAAATGTGGTTCTGAGTTTGATGCACACTGATTTGTGGTCACAAGTGATGACAGAGTAAAGAGGATTTCCGAAATCTGTTTGATTAATGGATGACTGATGTGTATGTAAAATTGTTGTGTAAGGACCCACGTCAAATTTATAGGCTGCACTGAGTAAGTCTCTGGGGCATTGCAATTTATTTTACCACCTCTTGAGCCAGGAAAGATCAGATGGGTGTGAATGATTATTATAAACCAAGTCAGATCCCTTTATTAATGACAGATATGCACTTTCCAGGGCAGGGTCATTGATTATGTGTAATCTCATTGAGGGCCTGCTCACTGTTTTTAATGTTCCAAAAAATAATTATATCTGACATTTTAAACCAATCTGTGGTTTTGGTCTTTCTGTCAGTGTTAGAGGATTCATTTTTGTGGATTAATTTTCATTTTAATGGCCAATGAATACTTACATTCCAAAAATGCAATTGAGATTTAAATGTGGAAAAGAGGCTTCTTACACTGTAACATGAAGAGCCAGTATTCTAATGTGAACATTTTCTGGCACATGCTGCAAATGTGCCCCTGCTGATTTCAAATGCCCAGTGGAAATAAATGAGCAAGAATGTGAGGAAACAAAATAAAGGGTGAACTGGAGAAAGGGATTAAAAGGAAATGTCTATTAGGAAGGAAAAATCTGTCATTGGGTAAATCAGACAGGTGGAAGATCTGGAAAGACAGACGAGAGACAGAGCAAAGTGAGAGGGGAGGTGGAAATAAAAAGAGACAAAGACACATTTTAGATGTAAGCTAGGAAGTGCTTGGGAGATTGAGTCCGTCAGACTGTTATCTAAGCAAATGTACCTGTGACAATTTTGTGACATTATGTTTACAATTCGGTAAATTTTACAGATAGTGTGGAATCCTTCAGTTCTTATTCAAAAATTTTAAAGACTTGCATTTAACTGTGTTTAACGTTCCCATAATTTAGTGTTTCTTAAAACAGATGGCTGCCACTTCTTGGACACTTTCTATGCAAGATGACAGAACCAGCCTGATGATTATTAGTTGCAAAAGAAATGGAAGCAGGGGTGGACCAGTTAGCCTTTTCTGGCTGTTCTATAATTCAATACAAATATGGCTAATCTTGTGACCTCAACTTTCTAGATATAAATCAAGGGATATGTGGGTAGTATAGGAAAATGATGTGGTAGAGAATCAACCATGATCCTGTTGAATGCTGGAATAGGCTTGATTGGTCAACTGGCCTAGTCTTGCTCTTATTTCCTAACTTCTTCATCTTGAGCTACCCTTGCACTACTTAATCCCCTCTGTGCCAAAAACTTCCCAATCTCCAGTGAACTAATTTCAATGGTGATCAAAATATAATCAAATCTCAAAGGCAGAGACTGGCAGTCATGCACAAAACATAATCTAAATTTATACGCAACATGTCATCAATAAAGTTATGGAAAGGGTAATCGACAGTACTGTCAAGTAACATTTGCTCAACAGTAATTTGTTCGCTGGTGTTTAGTTTGAGTTCTGTCAGTGAAGCCATTACAGCCTTCAACCAAACATTGACTAAGGAACTAAACTCTAGAGGTGAGTTGAGTGATAGCTGTTGACATCAAGGTAACATTTTACCAAGTATAGTATCAAGGAGCCCCAGCAAAACTGGAATTAGTGGAAATCGGGCTGGGGGAGAACCTCCACTAGTTGGAGTCATACCTTGGACAAAGGAAGATGCTTGTGGTTGTTGGAGGCCACTCATCTCAGTTATGGACCATCACAACAGGAGTTTCTCACCAGAGTGTTCTCAATCAGTCACTTCCAGTGCTTCAGTGGCCATCCTTCCATCACAAGGGCAGACATGGGGATGTTCACTGGTGCTGAATGTTGTGCATTTGCAACTCTCGGATATTGAATGAGTCTGTGTCCATATGCAGCAAGATCTGTATGACATCCATGCTTGGGCTGATAACGGGCAAATAATATTTGTAGCACGCATGTGCTAGGCAATGAGAATCTCTAAGAAGGTGATCTCTTCTTGATGACCAATGGCATTACTATTGCTGAATGCCTTGCTAATCAACATCCTGGAGTTTACCATTGACCAGAAAGTGAACTGGACCAGCCATGTAAAAGCTGTAACTACAAGAGCAAGTCAGAGGCTAGAAATTATGCAGCGAATAACTTTCTTAATTCCCCAAAACCTGCCCACAATCTGATGGGAACAAGGGACCTTGGGGTTGAAGTCCATAGCTCCATGAAAGTGACCATGCAAGTAGATGGGGTGGTAAAGAAGAAATGGCAGGCTTGCCTTTTGTGGTCGGGGAATTGAGTACAAGAATCAGGATGTCATGTTGCAGCTTTATAAGATTTTAATTAGGTCACAGTTAAGAGTATTGTGTTCAATTCTGCCTGCCGTATTACAGGAAGGATGTGGAGGATTTGCAGACGGTGCAGAAGAGGTTTATCAGGATGCTGCCTGGATTAGAGGGTATGAGTCGTAAGGAGAGGCTGGAGAAACTCGGGTTGTTTTCTCTGGAGCAGCGGAAACAGACCCTTTGGTCCAACTAGTTCATGCAAACCAGACATCCCAATCTGATCTAGTCCCATTTACTTAGAACAACTCCTGGAATGCCCCCTCCTCCCCACAGCATGAAGGGTATATCTACCTCCATAGACAGCAGTGGGTTAGAAAGTGGACTCACCAGCTCATTTTCAAGGCAAATGCCTACGGCCTGTAAAGAATTAAATAAAACTCAATTTGCACGCCTTTGTTCCATTTCCCCGAATACCTGTACCTAACAGAATTTTCGGGACTTGAAATCAATATATTTTTAAGTCAAGATATCATGGGATGGAAAGGTGTGCAAATGGACCTCAGGTAATTTTGTTAAAATACAGAACAAGCTTGAGAATCCTAATGGCCCACTTTTTTTTTTGTTCACTTATGGAACAAAGTCGGCACTGTGAGGCCAGCATTTATTGGTCATCCCTAGTTGCCCTTGAGATGGTGGTAGTGAGCTGCCTTCTTGAACCGCTGTAGACTACATGCTGTAGATTGACCCACAATCCATTAGGGAGGAATTCAGGATTTTGACCCAGCGACAGTGAAGGAAAGGTGGTATATTTTCAAGTCAGAATGATAAATGGCTTGAGGGGGATCTTGTGGGGGCTGGTGATTCATTGCATCTGCTGCCCTTGTCCTTCTGAATGGAAGTGGGTTTGGAAGGTGCTGTCTAAGGATCTATGACAAATTTCTGTCATTTGTTCTATGATCAATGATTCTTGGGAATTGATTCATGATATTTGGTGCTTTATTATTACCTGAAGTTGTAAATATTTTGTTTGTCATCCTGATGCATTCTGAAATGAATGCCACTGTGTCCAAATTTTATATTATTGTTCAAAATCATTTAATTGCTCAGGTCAACGACATTTTCATAGGACACTGTGGATGTTCCGTTTTCTGAAAGTTCTGTTTGTTGGAGTTGAAAAGTAACAGCTACTATGTTGGTGTGCTATTTTTCAGAGACGAGGAGCCATTTCCTATGAAAGCTCAGATCAGACTGCGCTTTACATTCGTATGTTAGGTGAGTAACCTAACTTTTTTTATTTGGTCTTCTGACTCATTATCTGATACCAATCTATTTGTAGTCATAGAATCACACAGCACGGAAACTGACCCTTCGGTCTAACTAATCCATGCTGTCTATAAATCCCAAACTAAATGCCTCCTGCCTACACTTCACCCATATCACTCCAAACCTTTCATATTCACGTACTTATCTGAGTGTCTTTTAAATGTTGTAACTGTAGCTGCATCCATCTCTTCCTCTGGAAGTTCATTCCACACGTGAACTGTGTGTGCAACAATTACGTGTTGTGCCCTTTTCTTAAATCTTTCTCCTCCCACCTTAAAAATATGTCCCCTAGTCTTGAAATCCCCCACCCTAGGGAAAAGACTCCTGCTATTCACCTTATCTATACCCCTCATGATTTTATAAACCTCTGCAAGGTCACCCCTTAATCTCCTACGCTCCAGTGGAAAAAATTCCAGTCTATCCAGCCTCCTCTTATAACTCAAACTTTCTGTTTCAGGCAACATTCTGTAAATCCCTTCTGAACCCTCTCCAACTTAATAATCTTGCGCGCGTGCTCGCTCGCTCTATCTCTTGTGCGCGCATGCGCGTTCCCTTGCTCCCTCCAGGCCCCCTCTGGATCATCCATTGCGCTGATCCTTTTGCAAATTTTGGTGTGTATCCTTTTAAGCTTCACGGTCATTAACTAATTTTGTCTGTCTCTTACCAGAGGATAACAGGTCATTTATGTGGGGAAGTACTGTCCTTCAAGTGGTTACACTTCAATTAGATTTGGCTAATCTACTTCTACTACTTCTTCGAACTAAGTTACACTGTCCAGTATAATGAACACTGCCATTCGTTGTTATGTGACTCCTGCCCTCCTACTGACTTTCATTGCTTTGTTGTGAACACTGTGGTTTATCTTTGCTGCACTGCACTATTAGCTGTAGTTAGGTCTCTGATCTCTGCACCCTTGCTACTCAGCCACTTTTTTGCTTTCCACGAAATCTATGTCGCCCCCTGCCAACTGTAACACTCCACTGAGCTGTTTTTCTCTTTCCCATTATGAAACCCACTCTAAATTGTCCCGTGGTTCAGTTTGCCCAGCTGTTATCCAGCTTGGGCATAGAATGTTTTCCAATCCTCTCTCATTCCTGTTCTACTTGTTTAGAGGTAAATTTCTTGGTTCTAGTCCCACCTCAAAAATGTCAACATATCATCTAGATTAACCATTCAATGTTAATGATGAACTGCATTGTTGGCTAGGCTGCCTTTAAGTTTGACCTACCCTGAGGCTTGTATGCCTATTCAAGTAGCTTTTGAATCATAGGCTACTTCAATGCTGTCACCATTCTATTTGGCCCATCGCATCCATGCCATCTTTATCCAAGATCAACTTGTTTTGTTCTGATTCTTACCTTTTCCCTGAGCCCTGCAAATGTTTTCTCTCAGGTGCTTCTCCAAATCCCTGTCAGATTGAATCTGCCACTATTTCGCTCTCCAGTAGTACATTCCAGATCCTAACTGCTTTCTGCTTGAAACAGTTTTCTCTCGTGTTGTTTGTTCTTTTGCTAATCTTTATCCTCTAGTCCTTAACCTTTTGAGTATTGAGACCAGTTTCATTCTATTCACTTTGTCCAGGTCCTTTGATTTTGAATACCTATCAAATTTTTCCTCCACCTCTTTTAAGGGTGTGTTTAAAAAAAAAAGGGTGCATTTAAAAAAAAAAATGCAGAATTCTTTGAACAAGACTTTGAACTTTACGCAGTGTCCTGGACTACCATTTATACACTAGACAACATCATTAAAAACTGCTTGATAAGCTTTCATCAACTTACTGTATTGTAACACCTTAAGTTATAACCATTAACATACGTCAATGCTCATAAGACCTGTTGACTATGAGGTGCTTTGAGATATCATGAGGATGCAAAAAGAGCTGCATTAATGCAGCTTGTTCATTACTGTTTCCCTTGTTTAACAATATTAAGCCAGTTACTCATGTGGAATGCACAGAACATTCCCCCACAATAGAAAATGCCTTAATAACAGAGATTGTATTGTAAGGCCTGATATAAATTGCAAGAACTGCCCACTGCAGAACCCCTTTGGTAACTTGTATTATGTAAGAAAGTTGTATTTTATTGTACATCTTCTTGGTAAATGGTAAATCATCATCAGCAAACATGTATATGTCTTGACTGCAGACTTTTTCGTTTTTGCTTGACTCTCGAGGGTTCCACATTATGCTTGGTATGATTCCCTTGGCACTTGTGTTAACCCTGGGCATTCTTGAACATATTTTCAGGGGATGTACGCGTAAGGAGCCGGGCAGGATTTCAACCTGAAAGAAGAGATTCTCATCCTTATGTTGATTTTCGCCTTTTGCACTGTAAGTATATTATTTGACGAACCTCACTTAGAGCAACTTTCTTTTCATACTTTGGAGGGAAATCTATTTAGCCTGTAATCCAGCTTGATTAAGGAATTTATCATAACTTTGGATCTTGAAATGTAAAGTGGAAGAAAACTTGGAATGTTGAAGCACCAGGAATATGGACTAGAAAGTTGTTCTAGACTTGATAATTTTACAGACATTTATTTGAGCTTTCATACTATGAAAGTTTAACTTCAGTAAGAAGCCTAAATTTGTCAAAACTGTTGATAGCTTCAGGATTATCGTGGAATGTTAGAGTAGATGTTATCCTGGGCTGTTTCTCTAACAGGGGCAAGGAGCTTGATTTGATTTGGCAGTCTGTCTTTCTCAGTGCCAGAAAAAGGAGATGTAGAAAAATAGTATACTGTTGAAATTGAGAGAAATTCTAGAACCTGGTGTCACAGTGGGATCTGAGTACCATGGTACTTGAAGGGCAAGAAGACGAGTCAGAAGACAAATGGAATGTTTCCATTTATTGCAAGGAATATTAAGGTGGGGAAATTTTACAGTGCCTGTACAGAACCTTGGTGATACCACAACTAGAGTACTTTAAAATTTACTGGTGGGTTGAGGGTGTCACTGGCTGGGCCAGTATTTATTGCTCATCCCTAGATGCTGTTGAGAAGGTGGTAGTAAGCTGTCTGTTTGAATTGCTGCAATCTATGTGCAGTAAGTAGCCCCACAATGCTGTTAGGGAGGGATTTCCAGGATTATGATCCGGTGACACCGAAGGAACAGTAATGTACCTCCAAGTCAGGATGGTGAATGGCTTGGAGGGAAATTTGTAGGATGTAGTATTCCCATGTATCTGCTTCCCTTGTCCTTCTAGATGGAAATGGTTGTGGGGTTGGAAGATGCTATCTAAGGAGTCTTCTAGAGTTTCTGCAGTGCATCTTGTAGGTGGTACACACTGCTATTACTGAGCGTTGGTTGTGGAGGGAGTGAACATATATGTGGGTGTGGTGCCAGTTAAGTGGGCTACTTTGTCCCTGGATGATTTTTAAGTTTTGTTTTGTCACGTACTAAGTAGAGGAATACATAAGTGCAGCAAAAAAGGGCACAGAGTCACCATTCACTGACACCCATTTGGTTACAAAAGCCAAAATTAAAAGATTTTAAGAGCCAGTAGGTAAGCAACAAAAAAAAAAATCTGAGTCCCAAGTCCCATCTCCACAATGGTGCAGGCATCGCTCCAATCGCTAGGGCACCCAGGAGGCTGCCGCTGCAGCTGCTGCCATGTGAAAGGCCCCCCCTCGCCGCCACATCACCGGCTCCCTCTTGATCGCCACCACTGCTCTGGCCCATGCTCGATCCACCATCGCTGCAGGACACAGCCTGTGCATTCAGCTCCCACCATGCAGATCCCAGTTGCGACCTAACTGCTTAGGTAGGTAATTAAAAAAGAGCAGGGTTGGGAGTGATAGAATTACTACAGAGAGGAGAAGAAAAGGAAAAGGAAAGAGAACTGGCATGTGGAAAAGATGTCAAGCTGCTTGAGAGTTGTTGGAGCTGCACTCATGCAGGCTAGTGGAGAGTATTCCATCACGCTCTTGACTTGTGCCTTGTAGATGGTGGACAGTCCTTGGGGAGTCAGGAGGTGTGTTATTTGCTGCAGAACTCCAAGACTCTGACTTGCACTTGCAGCCATTATTTTTATATGGTTGGTCCAGCTGAGCTTCTGATCAATGGTAACTCCCAGGATGTTGGCAGTGGCAGGATTCAGTGATGGTAACACCATTGAATGTCAAGAGGCGATAGTTAGAATTTCTCTTATTGCACATGGTCATTGCCTGGCATTTGCTTGGCATGAATGTTACCTGTCACTTATCAGCCTAAGCCTGAATTTTTATCCAGGTCTTGTTGTATTTGAGTATGGACTGTTTCAGTATCTAAGGAGACAAATGGTGCTGAACATTGTGCAATCATCAGCAAATGCCCCACTTCTGACTTTCTGAAAGAGGGAAGGTCATTGATGAAGCAGCTGAAGATAATTAGGCCTAGGTATTTAAAATGATGAATCAATTTGAGACGCTAAACAGAACATCTGTTTCCTCGAGTTCAGAACAGGAGGATATGAGCTTAAAGTTATTTAGGAGTGAAATCAAAAAGGCTTTTGTCACACACAACTTCATGGAGAAGTGGAACTCCCACCTCCTCCAAGAGTTAGTGGATATTTTATCAATTGAAATTTTCAAGATTGGACTTTGTTGTGTTAGACTTTCAAGTGGGATATTGAGCAAAGGTGAGTAAAACGTTGAGGTATATGTCTGATAGATGCTGTTGTGTCATTCTAAGACCTGAATGGACTACTGTTAGTGGACCTTAGGCAGCAGCATCATAGTATTCGAGTGGGTTCTGCCTGCATGATGAGGATGCTCTCTACCTGTCAGCACCTTGCCTCTTCACTCTCTTCCATTGTTCTATTATCAGATTTATTATGACATCCAGCCCTAAACGAGTCACAATTTCAGCAACATAACCAGGGAAGACAGCACTCATCATTTACAGACCCATCATAATTTCTGCCCCTTGATGCCAGTTCTATCTTTTGTCCACCCATTTGATTTGATTTGTTATTGTCACATGTACCTAGGTGCAGTGAAAGATTTTGTTTTGTGCGCAGTACATGCAAATCATACCATGCAAACTGCATATGGGTAATAGAACAGAGTGCGGAATACAATGTTACAGCTGCAGAGAAGGTGCTCAAAGAGTGAAATCAACATTAAGTTTGATGATTGAGAGTTCCATTCAGAAGTGTAATAACGGCGGGGGGAAAGCTGTTCTTGAATCTGTTGGTACATGTGTTTAAGCTTTTGTATCTTCTGCCTGACAGAAGAGGTTGGAAGAGATTATAACTGGGGTGGGAGGGATCTTTGATTATATTGGCTGTGTTTCTGAGCAGTGTGAAATATAGATGGAGAGAACGGACTTGTGTTGAATCTGACCTTTAAAAGCCTCCGCATGCTATCTAGTTGAGCTGAGCTTCTGACCCCTTGGGATTAATGTCACAAAGACCTGTATCATCTTGCATACTGATGATGTAGTGCTGAAACCCTTAACTAAGCTATTATTACCTCCACATCTGATGCTGTTCTGCTTTACCTTTTATTGTCCACTCAGGAGTAACTTGCTATCCTTCAGTTAATTCATTGGCTATTCTGTCACCTCTTGCAATACGTCATGAGTGGAACAACAGAGAATATCCATATTGAAAGAAACCAATGCAAGTACCTCCAACTGTTGCTGTTTTGAAACGGAAACCCTATAGAATGATGGGCCGCCTTTTTTCTTTGTATTAAACAACCACAGCTGAGAGTTTTTAATATCATTTAAAAACAAAATAAAAACATCTGAAGTTTGAATATATTAATTACTGTTTTCAGTCTCAAGGCCTGGACCATGTTTATAAACGTCAGGCTCAGTATGTTTCTTTTCAGAAGTCTTGGTTGGGCATGTTTTCAACTACATTCAACTTCTAGCACAAAAAACCATTAAAATGATGAGTGTGTATGCACCCACCCCAATTAAGAAGAAAAATGATTTAACTACAGTGCATCTCTTGTTGAAGGCATGTTTTATATGCTGCTTTTCACAAGTGCACAGCAATGACGCAGTTCTTAGACTTCAAAAGTGTTTGTCTTTAGGCTGAAGGGTCTCTTGACTGCTCTCGTCTCCTGTTTGTGCTTTTACTGGGGTTTTTCCAAGTTACTATTTGTGATGTGTGAATATTTTAACCAGTGAAGTTGATTACACAGGGATTTACAATGTCTCTGCTGTTACTTAGCCATTTGATCAATATCCTTACATTCACAGTATTATAATTCATAGCAAAGCATCTGTGAAATTTTAAGAAGTTTTATAGCTTACGACTAAAAGATTATGTTATTGTAAAGGCATCTGAGCGTATAGGTAATGATGTACTGGGTCTTGCCTTCAGTAAAACCATTTAAGTACAAAATTCGGTATGAATTTTGCAGTTTCTATTTTTTGTTAAGTTGTACCTTATCTTCTCTGCTGTCTGGGGATGGGTAGGTTGCCCATACTTGGGTGAGGCAGTTAGGAACAAAAGTTATCTTACGTAGGGAGCAGCTTTCATATAATTTGGTGGAGACAGGTTCTTCCCTACCTAGCATCTAATTAAGGGATGGTTTCTGATGAGTTGTCTGGCTGGAATACCTGAAGAGATTCCTCTTGAGAAAGTTAATTAGATCAAAAAGCAATATTTGTTTGTTTTACATACAGGGTTTAGGCATGTAAAGTAAAATGTTGCTGAGTCATTTTAAGTTTGTCAGTACAAAATATATTTTCCTTAGCACTGGGATGTGCTGTCGTAATGTAAAAGCACAATTGCAGTAACTTATTTGTGTTCATTGTTCTTCACATAGTTTACTGCACTCCAATAGATAATGTCAGGAGAATATCCAGAATGTCAGGAACACCTGCTCTTTATCATGTTTACTTGTCCTTGTGTGATACTTGCAACGTCAATATTTTTTCCATTACCTGCATCATCACTTTAGTGCTTCTTGAGAACATGAAAGAGATTTTGCACCTATTACTGTCTCCTGTTTTAGCTTACAAATTGGATGCAGAAAAACGCAAGTGAAAACTGACTGTCTTGCCTATTGTGCAACAAATTTATTTTAAATTTGCTGTAGGAGGTGATTTTGTTACAAATAATTAACCGTAACAGATTTTTTTGCACTTCAGGTTGATTCTAGAGTAGCGTGGTTTTACAAAGAATCTGAACTGTGTGACAGTGTTTGGTGAAAGAATTCTTTAAGGCATATTGTCCCTAGTTGCGGTTTAGGCCAGTACACACACTCACTGCAATAATTTTAACTTGGGTAATTAGTTTGGAGATAGAAACATAGGAGATTGGCCGCCTCCTGCTCCTTTGAGCCTGCTCCACTATTCTTCACGATCATGGCTGATCATCCAACTTGATAGCC